TTGGATCAGGATTTGCACCAGGCCATTGAGAATGAAGCCCCTGTAATGCAGCGGGGAGGGTTCTAGAGTTTAGCGAGGGAGCTGGGGTAAAGGGAGGGAGGGCTTCCTGAAGGTGCTGTGTGAGCGAGGCCCGGAGGACAAGTAGGTGGGCTTCAGACTGAGGAGGAAAAGTGTCCTGGGCAGCGACAGGGAAGGGCACCTTGCGGGGGACAGTGAGCGAGTCATAGTTGTTCTGGAGATGTGTGACTGGAGCACTTCTTTGAGGCCAGACTGTGATGGGCCTCGCAGATGCCCCGCAGTGTGGCCTTTAATGCAGGTAGGAGAGCTCTGGTCTGTCCAAACTGCTCTAATAGAATTGTCCACTGGCATCTTTCTGTTCTCTGCACAGGGCTCGTCCACATCCAGTGGCTTATTTGATGTTCCCAGCAGCCTTGCAAGGTGGGCATTGCCTTTTTTTTTTTTTTTTTGTGAGATAGAGTCTTGCTCTGTCATCTAGGCTGGAGTACAATGGCGTGATCTTGGCTCACTGCAACCTCCGTCTCCCGGGTTCAAGCAAGTATCCTGCCTCAGCCTCCTGAGTAGCTGGGATTACAGGTGTGTGCCGCCACACCTGGCTAATTTTTGTACTTTTAGTAGAGATGGAGTTTCACCATGTTGGCCAGGTTGGTCTCGAACTCCTGCCCTTGGGTGATCCACTCATCTCGGCCTCCCAAAGTGCTGGGATTATAGGCCTGAGCCACCCCGCCCGGTCATTCATTGCTCTTTTTACAGGTAAGAAAACCGAGGTCAGTGAGGTTTGGTGAGTTACCTACTGTGGGACAGTTACTCCTTTTTGTTTCAAACCCAGCACCTTGGCTCCTGCCCAGGTGGCTCCATGAAAGCGAACTGCTCTGGGCTGGGATGTGCCTTGGGCTACTGTGCACCCATGTGCTGTCACACCTCGAGGACATATGAACATGCCCTGCTTGTACCGTTCTTTTAGGGACGGTGATGTTGCTCTAGAGAGCACCAAAAGTCTTGCACTTCTGTCTCCTATTTTGTTGTTGAGATTTTTCTTTTTTTTTTTGAGACGGAGTTTCGCTCTTGTTACCCAGGCTGGAGTGCAATGGCGCGATCTCGGCTCACCGCAACCTCCGCCTCCTGGGTTCAGGCAATTCTCCTGCCTCAACCTCCTGAGTAGCTGGGATTACAGGCATGCACCACCATGCCCAGCTAATTTTTTGTATTTTTAGTAGAGACGGGGTTTCACCATGTTGACCAGGATGGTCTCGATCTCTTGACCTCGTGATCCACCCGCCTCGGCCTCCCAAAGTGCTGGGATTACAGGCTTGAGCCATCGCGCCCGGCGAGATTTTTCAATTGGAAATATAAGACCATTCCCCTGCTCCTATATGCCCCATCAAGTCCTTCATAAACTGGTTGTATTTGTATGTAAAACATGTGGCCGGGTGTGAAGTGAAGTGCTGTCTCATTTTGGCTTTGACTTGCATTTCCCTAACGATTAGTGGTGGTAAATATCTTTTCAGGTGCTTGTTGGCCATGTGTGTGTCTTTTAAGAAATGTCTGTTTGGGTCTGTTGCCCATTTTTTAATTGGGTTGGATTTTTTTGTTGTTGAGTTGTAGGAATTCTTAATATATTCCGAATATTCTTTTTTTTTTTTTTTTTTTTTTTTTTTTTTGAGATGAGGCTTGCCAGATTGGAGTACAGTGTCATGATCTTGGCTCACTGCAACCACTGCCTTCCAAGTTCAAGCGATTCTCCTGCCTCAGCCTCCCGAGTAGCTGGGATTCCAGGTGCCCGCTGCCACACCTGGCTAATTTTCGTATTTTTAGTAGAGATGGGGTTTCACCATGCTGACCAGGCTGGTCTCGAACTCCTGACCTCAAGTGATCCGCCTGCCTTGGCCTCCCTAAGTGCTGGGATTATAGGTGTGAGCCACTGCATCTGGCTCCGAATATTACTTCTTTATCAGGTATATGAATTGCAAATAGTTTCTCTTACTCTGTGACTTTTTCACTCTCTTGGGAGGGTTTTTTGATGCACAAAAGTTTTAATGTGATGAAGTCAATTTAACTATTTTTTTCTTTTGTTATCTATGCTTTTGGGGTCATATCCAAGGAATCACTGCCAAATCCAATGTCATGGAGCTTTTCCCTTCTTCCTTTATTTTTTTTAAAAGAATGTTAATACCTAAAACGCTGATAAAATGTCCAAAGGTTATTGACATCCTGGAGTGTCCCCATGAACTCCATTAAAAAAATTTATTCAAGTGAAATTCACATACCATAAAATCTTAAAGCGAACCATTTAGTATCATCACATTCACAATGTTATGCTTGCCTCTCTTTGGGTCAGTACTTTATAATTATGTTCGTTTCTATTTTCTTGTTTGGTCTTCACAGTGTCCCTGACAGTCAGAGCAGTAAACCCATTTCACAGGAACATGCAGGGAAGGAGACTCACATGCTCTGAGCCCACGTGCAGTGAGCAGTGGCCGTGTTTACAGGTTTCTTATATCCAGTATGAGCTTTGCTTTCCTTGACTCTAATGTGGGGCAGTGCTGCCTACTGGGGCAGATGTTCCTGCTGGCTGGGCTTTCCATGCCCACCTGTCCTTCTTCTCTAGGTCCCCTTATCTGTCACCTGCCTTGATGCGACTTTTCCACCTACGAGTTTGGTTATGAGTTATCTCCACCTTGTATCTCCAAACCCATCAGCAATTTCTCACGGATGGGACAAAGCTTTCTGTAGGCACTTTGGAAGGACCTGTGGCATGAGAGATGGGAACATATTCAAAAGCACAGAGCTGGGAGCTCCTCAGAGGTCATCTGGCCCAATTCTCTGGTTTTAAGGAGGAGGAAAAGGGGGCCTAAAGGAGTGGACTGCAAGCCCTGTGCACCACTGCAGCTCTCTTCCTTAAAGTATTCTGCCTCTTGGTGATAAAGGGACAGCAGAAACCTGCTCTTGCTTGAGCCTTACTGGGTCTTGTGGCAAGAGCTGCCATGAGTTTACCTCCCTTGAATCTTGACCACTGCCCCTCAGGAGGCCGTGGCTTAGAGCTGCTGAGCTCACCAGTCACACAGCAACACAAAGGAGCTAGACCCAGGTCCTGTGCATCCTCAGGGAGTGACTCATGCCTCCAGCCCTGAGAGCCTCTCTCCTGTGTGCTGGGGATTCCCAGGCCATGGACTCAGGCTGTGCACTTTGCAGAGGCTGCTGAAAACGAGGCCACCGAGGTCACACGAGGTGGCTGATGCCTGTAATCCCAACACTTTGGGAGGTGGAGGCAGGTGGATCGCCTGAGGTCAGGAGTTTGAGACCAGCCTGGCCAACATGGTAAACGCCCATCTCTACTAAAAATACAAAAATTAGTTAGGTATGGTGGCGCCCATCTGTAATCCTAGCTACTTGGGACACCGAGGCAGGAGAATCTCTTGAACCTGGGAGGTGGAGGTTGCAGTGAGCTGAGATCGCACCACTGCACTCCAGTCTGGGCTCCAAGAGCAAAACTGTGTCTCAAAAACAAACAAACAAACAGAAAAATAACAAAAAACTGAGGCCACCCTCCATAAAGACAGGCAATTGTGAGTGAAATCGGTGTTTCTTTTGAAGTCAGAGGCTATAGAACTGCGGCCTTGGCTAGCCAATGAGAGCCATGGATGCCAGGCAGCCTCCAGGCCTGAGGGAGGAGACTCACCATCTTTAGGTTAACAAGTGAAATAGATGCCAGGCAGCCTCCAGGCCAGCGAGTCTCTTGATCTTTAGGTTAATAAGTGAAATAAAACCTGTGAGTCAGGCTGCAGTCACAGCCTTACCAGGCTCTGGGAAGGAGGAGAAATTCCTCCCTCCGGGCGCCTCCTTCTGAGGTTGCCTTGCTTTGCACCTGCGGTTCCTTTTCCTCTTCGGCTGATGACAGATGTTTGACATTATCATTAGGCATTTCGAGTTTTCGCCTTTTAAAAAAATAGAATCACAGATGATCAGAAGTGGAAAAGTCCCTTTGGAGGCATTTCCCCTGGGTCGCACACATGGCTATAGCAGGGTCCAGAGAAGGGAAGGTCAGTGGGGACTGAACCTCTGCCCCCTCCCGGCTCTGCAGCAATGACCCGGCAGCAAGCCGGCCTCCCGGGCTCGTGGGCTCCCCTCTTTCTCTGGGCTCAGCCTGGGGCTGGAAGAGGCGCGCGGCCCAGCGGGCATCAGGCCAGGCCTGCAGCTGACCAGGGAAGGGCCCTGCCAGGCCCTGGGCCTCTGACCCTCAGTCCCGAAGCCTCCCTCTAGCCGCGGTCCCTCAAGTCCGTGCTGGACATGGCCGGCCCAAGTTTAACCCTGCAGGCTTTTAACCAGGAGTGGATCTTTCCACCCGCTTCCCGCCGGCTCTTCCGGCTGTCCACACCCGGCCAACACCGCTGTCCCGGCACTGGAGGGCTTCCTGGAAGCGGCGGCGGGCGGCGCGTCCGGTCTTTGTCCCTCCACGCTCTCCAGGGTGGGTCCAGGGGCTGCCAGATCAGGGGACCCTTTGCGCCCTGGAGCCCTGGATGACGTCGCCCCGCACCTGAGGACCCCGCCCGTTCCTCCCTCGGTTCCCCGGGGAGGGGCCGAAGGAGGGGGCCGCGCGCTCCTACACCGCGCACGCGCCACGGCCCGCCAGCTGGTTCGGCAATGATGACCGAGCGCGGGTCTCCCGAGTGCCCGCCCCAGGACTGGCGCCGCCCCTAAGTCCCCGTCCCCAGGGCCGGGCCCGCCACTCCAGGCCCCGCCCAGGACCTCCCAGCCCAGTCAAGCCCCGCCCCCAAGCTCTGTCTGCCCGAGGGATCCTCTGGGACTCTCCAGGCCCCGCCCCAGGCCCCGCCCTCTCCCCGCCCCGGTCCCGCCCCCCCCCTCCCCGGTCCCGCCCCCTCCTCTCCCCGCCCCGCGGACGGAGCTCGCCGCGCACAGGCCCCGAGGCGGCGCGGCGGGTTCCCAGGGGTCGGCGGCCGGCGGGGGCGCCTGAGCGCTGTGCCCTCAGCGGGCGGCGGGCAGCCATGGCGGAGGCCGCGTCGCCACACCTGTCGCTGCCCTCGGGGCTGCTGGAGCTGTGCGCGCTGCTGGGCGCCCCCCGGGACAGCCTCCGCGGCCTCGAGCAGGTAAGGGGCTGGCGGGGAAACGGGGGTGGACGCGGGCCGCGAGGCGGCAGCCAGGGCAGCAGTCGGAGAGCGGGCGCCCGGGAGCTCGGCGGGGCTGGCGCGGACTTCCTGAGGGCCGAGACCCGGTCCCCCGGCGGTGACCCCGCGCGCCTGTGGCGGGGACCGCGCCCGAGCTCAGGCAGGTGCCGCGGAGCAGCGACCTCCTCTCCTCCCCCTCCCCGCCCTGGGCCCTCGGCTGCGAACACCGGCTGCCCAGCTGGGAATCTGGGGGTGCCGCGTCTCGGAGCGTCCCTGGGGCCTCTCTCCTCGGTCGCCCCCATCTGGGGCAGGTGCGGAAGGTGGGGTGCGCTAGACAACGGGCGGAAGCCGCCGGAGCCTCACGGTCTGGTGGGCCCAGCCCTCGCCGCTGAGATGATCTGTCTTTATGCGGGGACGTGTTGTCTCCCGGGCAGTGGGTGCCGCACCAGGCACAGAACGATGAGAGAGTGAGTCTCCGAGTTAGCCGCCCGCCTGGCGAGTCCGCCTGTACCGCTTTGCGACGAAGCCTATAGCTGATTTTCTCACTTGCATTCCCCCTCCACCCTTCCTCCATCTCTGCACCCTGGCAGCCACAGTGACAACTTCACCTCCCATCTTCTGGGAAAGCAGCAGCTTTGGAAATCCTTGTTTTCCTTTTTCTTCCCCGGCTTTTCTGAATTCCGGAATGCTGGCTTTCCCTGGAATCCGTCTGTGGCTCTGGTTTCCTGCTGGCCCGCCTGCCTGTGACACCGTGACTGGGTCATGTTACCTGGAGATCCCGGCGTCACTGGCCAGCCGTCTGCACGGTGACAGACGGCTGTTCTCTTTGCTGACAACAGCACTGAAAGGCATAGAGAGGCTTCTGAGTATTTAAGTAACGCTGGGCTATCCAGGGAAACATCCAGGGAAAATGAAGGCTGCAGGGCAGAGGGTGACACCAGGAACGGGAAATGTTCCTGCAAGTAACCAGGTGAATGCCTGTGAGTGTTCCGGTAGTCTCCCCTGCGAGGCGACAGTTCAAAGCCAGTTTCGACTTCAGTGAAACGCATTCTCCTATGGAAATGGTTTCTGCGTTTCCCTCAACCTTTCCTTCCCCTCAACGCCCTGTCTTGTCAGGATCCCGTTTGCCCTCTGTCTCCTGGCAACCTCATCGATTGATTTGTCTCCCGACCTCTAATTTGCCAAATGGCATCACTTCCTTTTTCTTGGAATAGGAAATGATCTAGTTGCAGCTGTGGTCTCCTCAGCAGTGGACATCTTTCCTCCTGGGCAACTAATACATGTGTATTACTAATACATGTTTATTACTAATACATGTGTATTAGTTGTTTGGTGTGAGGCATGTCTTTTGAGAGCAGGGTGAATCAACTGGAATATTCGCAGTGGCGCTTTCTTTTTAAAATTTTTTTAATTAATATTTTAATAATAGAGAGGAGGTCTCACTGTGTTGCCCAGGCTTGCAATTCCCGAGCTCAAGTGATCCTCCCGCCTTAGCCTCCCAAAGTGCTGGGACTGCAGGCGTAAGCCACCGCGCCCAGCCAATGCTGCATTCCTGAACTACACAGGCTGCAGCATTTTCGCGTTCCCAGGTCACCTAAGAGGATGGGCAGTTTTTACTGTGCATGTTTAACTCTGTCCTATTTACTCTGTCTTTTGATTCAGTTAGGGGTTTGGCAAAGGGTGGAGAGAAAAATGGCAAAGGACTAAGAAAATAAGGAGCGTTAGGGGATGGAGTGAATTTCTTGGAGCCATCCTACTTTTAAGGTCAACATTAATGTTATAGTTAACCAAACATATGATTTTACTTATTTAGGGTTTTTAGCAGTTCTATTTTGAATATCCAAGGCTTTTTAACAATTTTTACCTTTACTTTTACAAATGCCCATTTCTCTGTGGCCCAGGCATTCCTTCTTGATGACACAAGAAAACAGAGGTCCAGAGGTATGAGGAATATCCAGCTTCGTGTTGGATCACAGAGTGCCCTTTTCATTTCATTTCCTAGAAGGGGGAGTAGTGTTTCTTCTGCTGGGGATGGTGATGGAGAATTGGAGAATGCAGGCTAATGTCAGTTGCGTGGTTAGTTACATTCCCCTCTACTCCTTTACTGTAGAGCCCCCTTCTGCCCCGTTATTGGTTGCTATGGAGACTAGACACAGGAGTGATGGGATCCATGGTGAATCCATCACACAGGGGCGGAAAGTGTTCCGAGTACCTTCCGAGTGCAGGTCACCCGCATCATTCTTGTGTGTGTAGGTACATTCTTATGTTTTTCAGTGGGCACTGTCCTGACTTTCAGATTCAGAACAGCCCTGGCCAGCAGACCTTCCTGGGGGAGGGCAGTCTGTCTCCTCTATTTGCATCGTCCAGTATAAGAGCCACTGGCCGCATGTGGTCACTGAGGGTCTGTAGTGTGGCCAGTGAGCTGAGAAACTGGATTTTAAATTTCCTTCAATTCTAACTAAACAGTTGGAGAACATTAAAACATCAGTTAATTTCTGTTTTATTCCCTTAATAACAGCCAATCCTATGGTGAAGATTAATGCCACTATCTACTCTAACTTAGAAATTAATCTGTGACTCAAGTAAATTAGAGTGTCCTGGTTTTCACTTTTTAATTAGCCTTTTTAAAAAACCAAAATCAAAATGATGGTTGTTGGGTAGGGGTTTAATAAGTCAGCACCCGGGACAGAAGAACAGGAAGTGACCTCACCTCCTGCTGCAGACCTGCAGAGGTGATGAGCGTCTCGGCGGTGGCAGGGTCTGACCGTTCAGCGCAGCCGCACCTTGTACCAACAAGTAACCTCTGAATACTCTTGTGCCAGGACTTCCATTTTCAGGAATTTATTCTAGGGGAAGAACTGGGTGTGTGCAAGTGTGCGTCACTGCTTTGTCCAGTGTGGTGAGGACTTGAGAGCCACCCACACGTCTCTCAGGAGGAGGCTGGGTCAGTACGTGACTGAGTGGACACATGCTGTGGCACTGTAATACTGCACAGTTGCAAACAGGGAGGTAGCTAAAACAGCTCATGGAACCTGTTATGTAGGATGATTACATTTATGAAACAAAATTACACGTTTATATGTGCATTAAAATGTATAAAGTGCATAAAACTAGGAAACTGGAGGACGTATCCACACTGCAAAGTGTGTCATGGAATTATGGGAAGGTCTTCCTTTTCTATTATCTTCTTTATTATTTTATATTATTAATTACTTTATTTTTTGAGATGGAGGTTTGTTCTTGTTGCCCAGGCTGGAGTGCAATGGTGCGATCTTGGCTCACTGCATCCTCCGCCTCCTGGGTTCAAGCAATTCTCCTGCCTTAGCCTCCTGAGTAGCAGAGATTACAGGCATGTACCACCACACCTGGCTAATTTTGTACTTTTAGTAGAGACAGGTTTTCTCCATGTTGGTCAGGGCCAGTCTCGAACTCCTGACTTCAGGTCATCCTCCTGCCTCGGCCTCCCAGAGTGCTGGGATTACAGGTTTAAGCCACTGCGCCTGGCCTCTATATTGTTATTTTTAAAAATGATATTGTGTTTCTTGTCCATTCAGAGAAGGCAACAGAGATTTCATCCTGAGAAAAACAGGTGTATGGTGAACTGCTGAATGCCAAGTTGGTCTGCTCTGGGGCATATCATTGTAAGTGACTAGCGATAACTCAAGGAATGGCTCTAGTGTGATCACCAGTGTCCTGAGAGCCCCAGGGGGGTTAGTCGTGCTTGGTTTTGGGGGCATCCTGGCTTAGGGAGTGGGCTGGCCCGCTGCTCAGGGCTGCAGTGTTCTGTGACTTACGGCCACGTATAACACATGGGAAAATACAGTATCATGACGTGGCGAAACAAACATGCTTTCTTCAATGTGGGGATGGGGCTGTGATGCTTCAGGGCTGGGTTGGGGCCACAAAGTGTCTGGTCTCTCTTTGGGAGAGTGGGCACACATGCTGGTGGGAGCCCTGGGCTGGGTGGGAGGAGGCGTCTTCCTCTCCAGGCAGAAATCTCCAAGGCTTTGCTCCTGGTTACTCCCTACCTACCGGGAGCCAAAGGTCGTGCAGGTGCTTGGCATGCAAACATGGTGCAGCTGGGCAGCGAGCTGATGGAGAGGCGCTCCGAGGCCAGTGGCTGAGGTGTGGGTCTGCAGGTGGGGCATGATGGGGGCGGGGCCCGAAGGGGTGGGGTCCCAGCTCTGAAGACCTGAACTGTGCTGTGTTTGTCACAGAGAACATGTTTGGGAGAGCAGCCTTTTTGGAAACTACCAGGAGCTTAATTTTTGAGACTATAAGTTTAGGGGACCCCAGAGGCGTATTGGGGGTCGCAGGAGGCAGTTGGGGGAGCCTGGGACTGGAAGGAGGTCTGGGCTGGGAGGACCCTGGGTGGTCGTTTTGGGTCTGCGCTGTGAGTGCTGACGTCCTTCAGGAGGATGGCGAAGGGCCCAGGCCTGGGAGATGCAACCTGGGAGCAGGGCTGAGGAGAAGGGTCTGTTGGGGCCAGAGAGGAGCCGTCAGACTGAGGGAAGCCAGCAGGGTGGCAGGATGAAGACAGTTCCAGGAGGAGGGCTGCTTGCTGAGCTCATAGCTCCCTTGAATATGCACAGTTTGTTAGGTTGGAACTGTCCGATTCTGATAGGAAGGCTTTAGAGAAAGTGACATGTAATTGAGGAAATGGGCTTCTTTCATACATGCTGCACTAGAGCTTTCAACACTATACAATCAGATGGATTTCCCATGTTCTGTCCTGGCTCCTAATGATACTACATTTTTTCCCCCATATGTAAAGCAATTGTTGACTGAATTTGAGTGATTTAGCATGCAGATCGCTGTCTAGAATCAGAGTGTGCTTACTGATGGAAACTGTGGCCATTGTTGAAATTTCTTCACTGTAAGAGCTCTCCTTTTGTCACTGTTACCTCTTACTGGAATGTGGAGTGTTGGCTGTGCCTTTTCTATCAGCCAAGTTCCCATTTCTCTGGGTGGTGGTGCTATTCTTCCTTTCTTTTTCTTTTCTTTCTTTCTTTTCTTTTTTTTTTT